AATAGATTACATTTGTATTGCCACCATTTTGATCAACTCATCTATGTGTTGTACATCACTGAATGATATTACAGTACGTCTCTCTTTTCACCCCCAAATAAATAAAGACTCTTAAAAGAATGCTACTTTACTAAATCCTATGGAAGTTGGCTAATTCCCTGAGTGAGCAAGTGTCTCTTTCTGTATGCCCTTGTCTAGAAAGGAGTCTTGTCTTCATGAGGCCAGCTTGCCAGTAATTACTGTCATGCTTGATGTATTACTAATCACAGGCTGGATCTCGCCTAACTGTCCCTGCTTCTGTCCTGAATATTCTCTCAGTGGCTCTGGCCGTGTTGATTGTGTTTTCTCAGTTTCAGTCTCAATGTAACTGTAGTTTATCATTTTGCATCAGTTACACATTACACCACACAGATCTGAGTTGCTTTTCCGTCAGTCACCCTACACCACTGAATCTGTCTCCCTTCCTCCAGGCTCTGCAGGAAAAGGTGGAGAGTCTACAGAGGCAGCTGCACAGCTCGGAGAAGAAGCTGCTTAGCAAAGAGCTGGAGTCTGAAGAAAAGGTAATACAGTCACTTGTTTTCTCTCTCTAATGCGTATTCACATGATAGGCGGGCGGTCTCTTACTCAACCCTACCTGTTTCCTCACCATTACTGTTGCATCACTGCTGCTGCCCTCAGCCTTTCTCAGACTTCTTATTAATCATGCTGGGCTTTTTTTTGGAGCTGTTCAACACCTCCATCTCCCCCCCCCCCCCCGATCACCTGGTGTCCCCTAGCCTCTCAGTTGCCATTCTGACTAGACCCTCCAGGGGGCCACAAAAGACAAAAAGAAAAGGATTACTCCCTCTTTTCTGCCCCCCCCCCCCCCCCCCCCTCCATCAACTACCATCTCATTCTCCTGTTCAGAGCCACACATATGCCCCCTCGCACATTTCCCAAATTCCTTGAGATTTGGCTTCAAGAGCCAGCGCCTAGGGCCAGGAATGCCACCACCGCCTGCGTTCAGAGGGAAGCCTCTGTGTGCGCACACACTCCCCATTGCTCCCCAGAATGCCCTGTAATCAGGCTCTGTTTTGACCTTGACACACAGAGAAGAAAGCACTAATGACTACACTCACACAGGAGGCGCTTCTTTGTACTGTTGTATGTACACCAAAGGCATTCATCCTCTAGTGTCCCCTCTGATCCGCCCACTGACCCTTGTACACACTTCACACACTCGTCACACACCTCGGTGTCTGGCTGTCATAAATCTGCAGGAAGAGGTCAGTGGTTTTTAGGAGCCGCTGGTCACTGACCCAGTCCCAGAGGCGCTGCTCGTTGTTTCCGATAACTTAAGAGGAGCTGACCCCCTGACCCTGCCGTCTGTAATGTCAGATCACTCTGCCTGGATAAGGGTTTGGGTTTCTCTTTTTCAGCTTTGCTAATATGTGTTTTGTTAGTGTTGTTTACTGCACTATCCGTGACTCCCGACGCAATCAATTGATGTATTGCTGAAATGTTTTCTCAGATATTGCCAACAGTGCTGCAAAAACCAAGATTTTTAAAAGTAATGTATCTTTCTCCAAGTGAAGAGCAAATATTTGTGTTTTTCTAAAAGTCATGGTCAAGTTCCGCTCGAAACCCCTATGGCATACTGTTTTGATATGTCATGACCATGTATTCAGTTAAAGTACGAGAGGAGTCAATATTGTTCATGTTACTCTAATGCAACACATGTTCTGTTTTCCACAGTGTAGAACTAGGCAAAATGCCATGACATGTTGTGTTAAAACAATAGTGTGGATTTCATAAGATTATTATTAATGGATGTTCATTGCATATTGAACACTAAATTACTCAAAACCCACTTATTGCGTGTGGTCTACAGAGCTTAGTCTTATGTGGTTAAAATGTGTTGATAATGGTGCCAGTAAAAAAACACAGATTTTAACACTATTACGAAAAATGCTTCTTTCTGGTATAAAATCACGAACATGATGTAAATCAGGCAATAAGTCAAAGCAAAAACGCGTAAACAAGAAACCATTTCTTATTAAGCATTTGGTACCAATTTCACATACTGTAGTTGACAGTTGTTTATTCTCTGCCATAAACACATTTCACTCATTTATCGCACATTGTTTTGCTGTGACAAAATTGGCAGCAAAGACACAAACAGGAAGTGAGGCCATAGTGGGATAAGAATAAAGAAATCTCAGTTCGTCAGCTATGCCTGAGCTAAATGCAAAGACATGACAGTTTGTGCAGCATGTAGAATGATGACATCTGAAGCACACAGGATAGTGAGAGCTTTTGAATTAGGTGCAGCAGCTAACGTTTCAACTTAAAGCATGTCTTCATCAGAGGGAGAAGAAGCACTGTAGACATTTGAAATGCCCGCTTCAAGCGGTCTTACCTATATCAAATGTCCTTGAAAACCACATAGAAAACATCATAGAAAGCACGATAGATTCACACAATACATTTAGTCCACCCAATGCTTTTTAGTCTTAAGTCATCTCATCTGCGCAGTGGGAAGACGAGCCCTCAGTCTAAATTGGTGCACTTCTTCTTGGTCACATGAATGTTCTGTTTGCAGTGGTAGATAAGTGTTTCAGCAGAACCTCTACGATGTAGTCAGTGTTTTGAAATTGTTATATATTGTACCTGTCCAGTTATTTCTCAGTTATCACCAATGTCCCTCTGCTGTCATTGCACCCTAAAGCTTCAGCCACACAAAAACGTTTATGCTAAAAACTTTGTTAGTTGCAGTATTCTCTGAACCGGCAGAGTGCACACAAGCAATACAGTTTGTGTAGATACAACAAATCAACATGTGTTGCTAGCTAAACGCTTTAGACCAAACATGCAACTCCTCCATGCCGAGTAGGATTCACATTTATCCAGAAAGGGGTCACATTTTTGTATTGGCTGAATATCCTGTAAACATATTGATTCTGCTGGGAAATTATTTAGTCAAATGTAGATGTAAATAAGAACTTGTTTGTTTTTTTTAATCCACTTTCGGCACTACAGGAAAATGTGTTTGTGTTTGGCAACCCATTATTTTGGCAGATAGTCACAGTTCTTCTCACTCGTCGTCTGAATCCCATATTTACTCCAGCCTCCTACCCTGCTCACATAAGGGTGTGTGTGTGTGTGTGTGTGTGTGTGTGTGTGTGTGTGTGTGTGTGTGTGTGTGTGTGTGTGTGTGTGTGTGTGTGTGTGTGTGTGTGTGTGTGTGTGTGTGTGTGTGTGTGTTGTGTGTGTGTGTTGTGTGTGTGTGTGTTGTGTGTGTGTGTGTTGTGTGTTGTGTGTGTGTGTGTGTGTGGGACAACAGCTTTTCTACTGTACATCTTTCATTTGGTTTGTACATCATACATGCATTTGCCAACACCGGGTCATTGTTTTTTCTGTATGATAATAAACCTCCACTCTCACTCTCCTCACACTGATATTGCCCTAGTTTATCTGCCAAGACTTGTCTTTGTAATCCGATCCCTCACATGCAGAAACAGTCTTTCTGCCCAGACTTCACACAGATGTTGCTTGCCTTTACACTTGTAGGGCCCCTCGCAGGCTCCCCCACTCTAAAAATGGCGGATCAGCAGATCACGGTGTGGTTCAATTCTCCTTGAAGAGAGGTTGAAATGTACATCTCTTTGTATAATAATAAAATAGTGGGCACGGTGAACTGCACACGTTTCAGAGATGTGTTCTCCTGCAACATGGGAGCTTAGTAGAATCAAAAATAACAGTTTTTAGTAGTGATGCAGACATAAAAATGCAGAGGAGTTGAACTTTAGTTCTGGAGGTTCAGTTGTTTTCTTGTGTGCTGTTTTTTTCATCCCATAGTTCTAACACCTCCAATAAGATCTGGAGCCACTTCTAATCTCCTCCTTCCTTTTTTTCCACATTTGTCAAGCGGTTTCTTTTTTCCATTTTGGAATTCAAATCGCTCCTTGGTGAACTCAAGAGTGCCAACTCAGTGCATGTGGAGGTGCAAACTTTGTGAGTGTCATCATTTTTGATGTACCCCCTTGTTCCTGACAAGGTTTTTGTCACTTTGGAACAAGAGGGTATATCAGAAATCTCTTTCCAGCAGCTACTCCCCCCCCCCAACCTGTCCCACGCAAGCACACACGCACACCCCAACTTCATTAGCATACATCAAGCTTCAACTTCATTTGAACGTTGAAAGTGTTGAGGGCTTGTTCCTTTCAGCTGGCAGCTGTCAAAAACCACGCCATGTGACAGTACCAAACGCAAGGGAAAGTCAAAACCACAATCTAAAGACTATATATAGATGAAATGTTGTCATTTTAAGATGACTGGGAGGGGAAAACGACTGCCGCTCCTCGCAGTCTTCAAAACTAGAGAATCCCGCTTCATCAGGAACAAACAAAATCTCATTTAAACAAAGAGCGGTGGAGATGGAGCCAGATTTTTCTCCTGAAAGTCAAAGTCTCTTTTCATTGCTTTGGGATATAGTGGCACACTTATTTTTCCCGCCTTTCCCTTCCTCTTTTCTTTTTATGCTCACTCTCATCTAGAGTCCGTCAATGACCAAACCCCTTCAGAAGGTTTGATCAACATTTGTTCAAAGGAACTCGACATCTGTCCTAATGGTAAGGACAGATGTCTTTTTTTTCATCACATGCCTCCTGCCACCTGTCAGAAAAACAAACACGCCTTGCTGTAAAAGATGTTTTAAGAAGAGAAAAAATTGTGTTTGCATAAAGTAAAACAGAGATGTGGGAGGAAGGACCCTGAAAGAAGTGAGAAGACTCAAAGCTGAAGGAACAAGTCAGACATCTTTGGGAAGTTTGAGTTCCTATTTTGAATTTAAAACCATTCAGAGACACAATGAAGTCAGAAATGTTTCTGTATCTTTTAGCTGAGCATACGTTTTCTTAACAGAGATATTGTTGGAAAAAACGGATGCTGCCTCCACCCCACACACATTGCATAGTAACTAAGCTTTAGTTAGACATGCTGTGGAAAAATGTGATTCCTTGCTTGGGTTTGCTACCCTGCAGCACAGCAGAAACCTGTGTCTTACGCCTTCAAGTAGATGTACTGCAAATGTACATGCAGAAAATAATGTATTTATAATGCTACAATACAAAGGGAATGTTTATCTAATGATGGGAAGAATACCACTTTAGAAATTAAAGGTCACCTATTATGCAAAATCCACTTTTTCATGTCTGTTATACATCAACATGTGTCCCCTCTGTGGAAAGAGATTCTGAACGTTTCAGGAATACAGATTCGCTCTCTTTTTGTCCTGATCCATTTCTATAAAAACCTGATTTTGGCCACTTTATGATGTCATAACGATTTTTTGGCTTGTGTAACCATTAGCCAATCAGCAACAAGGAAAAACGCGCCCTACTTATCACCTGAATCTCCTCCTAGAGCACCATTGTGTTCTTTTTAACCAAATGTCTCTCAGAGGGGCGTGGGGAGGGGCTCCTTATTTTTCATCTAAAGTAACAGACAGAGAATCAGCACTTTTGAAACAGGGCTGAAACAGAGGGGTTTATGGGATGCTACAATGGGTGATCTGTTTGGTATTTGGAGCACTTCAGAGACATGTTTGTATATATCTGAGACCTATAATATATTGATGAAAAACAGTATGATAGGGGACCTTTAATGTTCTGGTTTTTTTATAATTCTTTTCCCTGTCTTCCACCCTCAGCAGCTGTAATTGCAGTTGACCACAAAGTCATTAGGACAAATTCCAGATACAAAACCCTACTGTATCCCATAATACTTTCTGATCCATCCATGCGACTCTACGTACAGCTGTCCCCGTTGATCCCTGTGAGTCCCAGTGAATACGCTGTCGTAGCCTTGCCCATTCTAATGTATGGGAATGAAAATGGAGACAGCATTGCCACAAAGGAGCTTGTAATTTAGGCAGAGCGGATCTCTCATTGCTGTGGCGACGGCACCATACATGAACCAAGAATGCAAACCTAAGGAGCGTGGCTTTTGAAGAATCTAGACTTATATTCAGAGTGGTTGGTAAGGGATGTGTTTATTCAACCATTGTTTATTGCTTTGGTCTGAGGTAGTGGAGTGTGTTTTGTCTTGGCTCGCCATTTTGTTATGACTACAGAAGCTGCTATACATAGATAGACTTTTTTTGAAAATCTGCACTCCCGTAGCTTCAGCAGATTTTTTTAAACTCCCCGAAATTAAAGCTTCTGAAACCCATTTTCTTTTCGCCACTTGTTTGAAAAGATCGCTCTCAAATTATCCTTGACTCCATTCTCACACAGAGAGAAAAACACATATTTCTGTAAACTTAAAATGAATGGGACAGAAGGAGCCTGAAAGAAACTGGCAAAGTTGTGGCAGTCTAATCTACTGCATACTGTGCCGAGACAAAGTGAGCGGCTTCATGTTGGGATCATTTATACTGGGGGCTGCTTTGAAGTGCTTCCCAATCCCTTTCATTGTGCCCAGGAAGATTAATTAGCCAAAGCCAGAACCAATCAGTTAATCCACAACAGGAAAATTATTTTAGGAAAACCAATCTTTTTTCCCTCCCCCTCACCTCGTTCACGCTCTCTTCACATGAAAGGCCGGACTGATGAGAGGAGAGGAGGGGAGCGTGGGGATATTCTTGATGTTTGCTGGACGTTGGCTCTGTCAAAGACATTATGGTGGGTTGAAATGCTCAGACTCTCCCCTGGTTACACCTTGAAAATATGTGGGCGAAAACTGTTGCTTTTCACAGCCCCCGCTGATTCCCTCCAGCTCTGCTAAACTATTCATCAAGCTCTGAATTAATTGACGGCAACTCTTTTCAAAACGCTGTAAATGCTTTTACAGTACTGTAAAAGCCCTATGTTTGTGAATGTGTGTGTGTACATTCATGTGTGTTTGGCGGGTTAAAGGGGGGGTTGAGCTAACCAAACCCTTTTTCAACTTCTATAATCAGACTCTGGTTTAGTGGAGTGTATTTAGCCCCAGACAGACTTCCTCCAGTCCTCCCAGTGGAGCTAGCTAGCTAGCCGTTGCGCTGCTGCTGCGTTTTGATGTGTTCTCTCTGCCCTCACCACGGCCCTGTCCTCTTCCAAACCCCAGCTGTGGTCAGGCCCATAAATGCATTGTGCACTTCTGGCTGTAGTCCTCCAGCAGCCAGTAGGGGGGGTTGTGCCAGAGCGAGTCATGCAGGCCTGCAGACCCCCTGTGGAGATGTGAAGGAGCTGTGAAGAGCTAGGGAATACTCTGAGCCATGAATAAAGAGGGGATACCCACTGTTTTGTGTGTTGTGTGTGTGTGTGTGTGTGTGTGTGTGTTGTGTGTGTGTGTGTGTTGGTGTGTGTGTGTGTGTGTTGGTGTCTGTGTGTGTGTGTGTGTGTGTGTGTGTGTGTGTGTGTGTGTGTGTGTGTGTGTGTGTGTGTGTGTGTGTGTGTGTGTGTGTGTGTGTTTTTTGTTCCATGCTAATGTGGATTTGAATAAGTAGCAGGAGCGCTTATTCAGCAAGATTTTACTGTATTGTCTTTGATTATCTCAAAATGGTTTTAAACCAAATACAATTACAGGTGAAAGTATTTGCTTGTATGTGTGTGAATATCTATTTTGTATTAATATGAGGTTGTGTACAAATGTGTTTTTAACTATTTATTGTTTAGGTCAATTCAAGTTAACCCAGACTGTGTGTTTGCCTGTCCTCTGTCTCCTCAGGTGACTGTGGTGCGTCAGGAGTATGAGAAGAAGATCAAGGGTTTGATGCCGTCAGAGCTCAGAAAGGAGCTAGAAGACACCATCAGCTCTCTGAAGGCTCAGGTGAGAGCTGCCACAAACAGATCAGATACAGGCGGGCCCATGACAACCATTCTGGCTTTAAATTCAGGATTGTTAAAAAAAGAAATCTTGGGGGTTCAAGATCTCATCTTCAACCTATAAAATATTCCAGCCTTTAACAATTTCAGTAATCCAACCCTTTTGAAACACTATATTGTAAATTGGACAGGTTGTCAAAGTACAGTTAGGTCTCATCAGTTATTTTGGAATTTGACAGAATCCTTTTGTCTTTCACCTTTCTAATAACCATTCAATACTATCGGAAACATAACCCGCACATACATGTGAGTTATTTGTTTAGTTTTTGGATGTTGCCAATCCTCTTAAACCTACATTTGTCCTTGTCTCTCCATCATCTCACCACTTGCAAAACCACATCCATGTTGTTCCTCTGAGCCGTGTCTCACACTTATATCATCGGGCCCATTTTGACACCGAATATCAATAAAGGGCTTTCACTTTTCTCAGTTTTTCCATTGCAAACAACAGAGGGATTTCTGTAATGGTGATTGAAACATGCGGAACAAGTTTTTGTAAAACAGTCACTCCACAAACCCCTGCCTTGTTCAAATAGGATCCCCTGATCCCGTGTCAGCGTGCAGACCACAGCTCTGTGATCGGATATATTCATAAGATGTAACTCATGCCCAGAGTGGTCTTTCCTCTCATTGCCGACATCTTTGGCTTTACAAATTAAAGTGCATTATTTGTACATGGTAAAAAAAAAAAAGGGCAGTGAGAGTTTTCATGTCTCTCGAGGCATCCGACCACATTTTTAGTGGTTTTTTTCCACCACAGTGAAGGGGCAAATGAAACGCTAGAACTTTGCTGAGGTCTCCCCCACAGAAAGGAATGTACCCTCTGCTCCAGTACGATAGTCCCAGAACAATACAGATTCTTTCGGAGCCGTGATTATTCTGCCAGGCTCTACATGCCGTGTAAATGTAGATGGGGTTTATTTTCACTTGGGCCAAAGACACTTCATAAATAAACTCACACTTTGTAGCCAAACAAAAGAATGGTGCCGCCTCCTCCCGCAGCGTCCTAACCTCCACTATCCTGGCTCATAATCTCCCCTCTGTCCCCTTGTGCCTTAACCCCTCTGCCCTAATCTCCTGACCCCCAACCCCTGCTGTCCTGACCCCTGGACTCAACAACCAAGTCTTTCTTCCACTTAGCTAACCCCCTCCGACCAAAAGCACAATTGACCCAAAGCCATCATACCTTCTCCACTTCCAGTTTCTGTGTTCTGATGCACTTCCCTTATTCTGATGAAACAACTAATCAGAGTATATTTTTAAAAAGACTTTGCATTGTGTGTCTGTGTTGCAGGTGAACTTCCTTCAGAAGAGAGCCTCTCTGCTACAGGAAGACCTGGATGCCTGTCGCAGCAGGAGGTGAGCAGGATTGTTTATATTGTATAGAAACGTGTGTGCACTGTAGATAGTTCATGTGGAAGTTTATGCTTCTGTACAGTACAATGCATGTGTCTTGTTTTAACACCAGTGTACTTACAGTAAGGTTCTGAGTATGAACATACGTCATTTACTTTGTTATGCAGTGCAGTTGCTTTAGATGAAGTCTTCCAGTGCGGAGGGCTTTGATTTGCCTCCTATCCATCAAACTGTAAGAGCCATTTATGTCTTTATGAGAGGCATCTTAGATATGCAGTGATAAGAGGGCTTGTCAAAAGACGCTGCCACTCACATCTCAGCAAACATCTCTCAGGACTGTCAGTCATGCACATCACAGTAAATAAGCAGTTATTTGACTGTACGCTAGCTCTCAACTGAAAGTGATAGAGAGGTTGACAATCTCAAAGACAATGTCATCAGAGAGAGTTTAAATTCCATGATGGTAGACTTTAATATTGAATCATTATAATGTCGTCTTAATGGTTTCTCACTGGTAAAACCCAACTCCTCTGTACAGGTAACCATGGGAGAACAGTCTGACCCCTCGCCGGAAAATGAAGGAAAAGACGTCCAATCAGATGTGAGCATTATTGAAGTATTTTACACATCTGTCGTGCCACTGTTCCCGTCATCTTTTTATTTATTGTGCTGGTTTTATTGTAGTGTAAACTATTTATACATCGTCAGACTTCAGTTGTTGCTTTGTCTTGTTGGAATTTACATATTTATGTTCACAACATTGTTTTATACTTTTTAATAAAAAACATTCCACAATTTTTTGTTGTCATGCTTGTTTTTTATTATTCTGAGCATGTTTTTCATCTTCAAATACCTCATAATTAGTCCATAAATGTGTGGAAGTCAAGCTGTTGCCCTTGTTTTTATATGACCGTAACATGCATGTTTATTAAGATTAGCGCTGTAACTTAACACTAAAGTCAAAGACCTTCAATTCCCATTTCCCCCACATCACTATTTAGCATCGCCTTTAAGCTCAAGCCCCTGTTTGAACTGAGTGGTTGGGGGTTTGTGGTCGGTCCAGATAAAGAGCGCTGCGAGTCGATTGTTTGAAACTCAGGCCAAGCGCTACAGTCCTTGGGCTCAGTGTTTCTCCACCACCACTTTGTGTTTTACCAACGGCTCCACTCAAACCCAAGCTGAATGACTCAGACGATTGAGTCCACCAAACGGCCGCCATGTCTCCAACTCTCCTCCAATGTTTCCAGTTTGAATGTTTTATGATGATAATAACATTTGGTCGGCCAAGGATGGGCTTCATAATGAGCCCGAATCCATTGTTTCTTTAGGACACGCTGGTAGGTGAGGAATGTTTGGGCTTGAATACTGATCATTTTGAAAGAATCCAGTTTCTCTGTAAAACAATTCGGAGACATTATTAAATTCCAAAACCAGATTTTATTTCAAAGAGGCCTCTACTCTTATTTGCATTGGAATGGCTTTCGTTTTGCACCCGCAGTTCACGCACTTCCACGTGTCCCATTGTCCGTGACCTGTTCTGCTGCTGTCTCCAAACGAAACACTATAACCCCTCTCTGTATTTATTTGATGTGCTGATTCCGCTGCCCAGGCAGAGACAGAGAAGAAACAAAAAAAAGAGAGACGAAAGGAGAGAGGACTGTCAGACCGACATCTGAGAAACAGGAATTTAGTCTTTCAGCACAAAGCCTTTGTGGAGTCTGTTGTTTCTGGAAGAAGTGCAGAAAGGATTCAAAACTATTGCGACACAGCATCATGCAAGCATGTATGTGTGTCATTTTGCATTCACTGTATGTGGGATAACAATCATGTTCAATACTGAGAAAAGTGTTTCAATCAATCTCAAGGTCCACACTCGAAGATGGGCAAAAAGCTTACCATTATAGCCCCTAACTGCATCCCACTTCCCCCCTTTATGATTCTAAAATATGTGTATTTTGCATGTTCCTTTTTACAGAAGCAGGTAGAGATGTTTGGAAACAACAGCCATTAAATACAAGATTGCTTAGTTTCATCTTTTCATAGATGTTCTCAAACCGGAGCTTGCGTACTACCAGAGATGTATGTACTAGACTTTGGGAATTACTGGTCTAAATGGTAGGTACTGTAGCAACTGACAGGTTTGTCAGATTGTCTGTTTTTGTTCGAAACATTTCGCCTGATCTTAGGAAGGGATTCGGATGCTCTTCGATTATGTAATCAGCAATTGGTTTGAAGCGTACTAAGGTCCTCCCACAGGAAGTAGGGGGGGGTATCCTCCTACGACCGTGCGCGTATTATGCAGCGATTAAACATGTGTGGAGGTGAGAAAATTGGCTGGATTTTGCTTCTTCTCTTTGCACAATGACTGCTATAAAGTACATACATACAACACTGAACGCCTTCAGAGGCCCTTTGACACAGTTTGCTATTATTCCCATTTCTACATGCCCCACCCCTCAAGGCTCTGTCCCAGACCTTCACGTATAACCCTTTTAAACAGACATGAACACTTTAGACGGGGTGAACTGTGAAGGTCATTCATACTTTGACTTTTACATAATTGTGGACGCAGCCAACAGGATGTGTAAGTTACTGTTGGTGACCCAACAAAGTCTTCATTAACTTTACATGGAGCTTCTGATGATGTAGATCTAAAGGGTTTTGTGTTTGCTCATTTATAGCCAAACAGGCTCCAGCTATAACCTCTCCTTTAATCTGTGTTACTGCTCTGACATAGTTTCACTCTAATTGATTGTCTACCACTAAAATAACCTCCATAATTGAGCTTGTGTAAATACAAGCCATGAATGTCATTTCCACACGGCCGAAATGGCCCCATTAAGGATCAAAGCACCCGCTTCCCCTCGGTTATCTCCACATCAGACGATGGGCTGTTGTGTGACAACAGTAAAGGGGAGTCAGGGTGGCTCGCCAAGGTTTCCACCATATTCCCACTTCATGCTGGCGCTCACGTCTACTGTACTGTCATTTAGATCGTTTCATGTGTTAGCTTCAGGTGGAGATTTAAATGTTTCATTGGCTAAAGAGTAGTTTTGACACGAGTGCACAAAGACCTATTTAAACATCATTGCACACTCTAAATGCACACAAGATAAACAAAAAAACTGCTTCATGGCACTGAATCAGAAATGTAGAGCAACTGCAAACGTACAGAGGAACCTTAAAACCCTTTTTGTTTTAATGTATTTTATTTTATAGGATATGTACAAGGTTGTTTGAGGACATGAATTCTCAGATCAAAAGTGATATACCATCAAATGTTTTTTCGGGTGATTTGAGGTCATTCCCATCTCCTTTTCTATGCCTTTTACTACATCTACATAAGTGACAATCTGTGAGTGCACGCTTTATTCTGAGCGTTCCTGACAGGCCTCTGGGATTGACTGTACATCAGCGTGTGATTGACAAAGTCATTGCACGCGTGTGTTTGCGTGAGCCGGGTGTCACTGGAGCTTTTTATATCTCAGTATTCTGAGTCAGACCCGAGGAGGCCTGTGTTTGGCTGCTGTACGCTGCTTGCATAAATAAACCTGTTTATCGCCAACACTTCTCACACACACTGATGTCTTCCAACATGTTTTCTGTCTTTGTCTCTCTGCTTGTATCGCTCTCTCTTTGTTGATACGGTATATTTATGGCAGTGATTTTTTTTTTTCGAGCCCTGTCACTCATGTGCAACGAGAGCTATGAAAAGGATATGCAGCTGTGTGATGTGAGAACAAGTGGGTTAGAGGCTATGCAGCCTTACTGAAGAGAAGGCACAGCAGGGTGCATTTGTGTGTTTGTGGCATGAATTTGCCGTCTGGGTTGATAGTGTGGGTTGAGAAGAGGGACAGGAGACCCTGCACTAAAGACAGAGTGGGAGGTTTGTCTGTATCACTTGCCCTTTGTCTCAGTCTGTATACCTGGTTTCTCTGTTTCACACTTTCCATGTATCTCTCCCAGCCTCTGCCGTTATTATGTACATCATTTGCAGTAGGCTGTGGCAGCATCCAAACAAATGCAGTTAAAGTTGAAAATGCATCTTTTTATTGTTGTTTTTTTTGTACCTACATTAAATGACTTGTCTCTGTATGTTTATGAAGGGGACACATTTTTGGCCTTGTTGCTATTGAATGAATTGACATCTATGTCTGCCCAGAGGTGTCTTCGCATTGGCTTTACTTTGCATTTAGTCTACAAGCACTAACATTTTAAAATTAAGAAAATATCCAAACGTAATCATACATTTAAGTTTTTTGATGTGTTTCTTTTTATTTTCAAAGGAGATATTCACACATCAAACTATCCCTTGAGTCTAGACTAGAGAAAGGATGATCCGGCACACAGCTGTGTTTCCCTCACAATGTAATCTTCCAACTTCCTGATTAGACGCCGTTTGAAGGCCAATTGTGGCAGAGAATACAAAATCTCCGTTGTTTAATCAAGGTTTAACTTAAAACCAACAGTCAAAGTTATTTAGTCTAAAAACATATTTTTTGAGCATTGAATGCAGATACCTCTTTCAGATTATTTAACCCCCAAAATTACAAAGAACATTGAGGGTAAGACCTCTGTGTGCTCAGCTGCACTGAAATAATGTGGTCTAAACGGAGACAAACGTATGACATTGATATATGTTGGAGAATCTTTACCCTTTGGCACTAACAAACATTTTCATATGTATCTGCATTTGTGTGGACGTGATGCATGTTTGATTGTGATATTATTGAATCCTATACGAGCATATTACCATGGTGCTCACCCTGTTGTGTCACACCCCTCTAATGGAGGAACAGGAAGCTGGGGGAAAGAGATACAAATCTGGCATCTGTTGAATGGACGAGCAAGTTAATCACCTTACCAGTGAGTGAGCCCTCTGCGCTCCGGAGTCAAGAAGGAGGAAGATGGGGTTAAAGTGATGGATTAAGGATGAGTGAGGGAGCCAGGGTTCAGGTTAGGACCGGCTAAGAGACGGATCGCTGTCCTGTCAAGCATGGCAGAACAGTGGCGTCCGCTCTGTGAAGTGTCGGCATGGTGCTTCAGTGCGAGCAGCAGAGGAAATGAAAGTCATTACTGTCAGTGTGGAGTGAGCTTCATGGCCCAAACGGGATTAGACAGTGCATCCGACATTGTTTCTATACATTGGTAGACTTAAAAGTCAAGCGCAAAATGGGATTAAAACGAGGGAAAAAAAACAATAAATAACCTTCAACAACCCCCCTCTCTCTTCTTGCCTCTCTTTTATTTCTTCTGTGCCTTCCTTCGCCACCAATTCCCTACTTCATGTCTCATTCTTTAGTCTCTCCTCTTTCACCTGTCTCGCTCCCTTTTCCACTCTCTCTGACACATCTGTCTTTCCGTTCTTCCATCCTTCGCACAATCCCCATCATCAAAATGCACAGGTAGGCGCCGACTCCCACTCCCACTTTACATTCTCTGTTTTGTAAAAAAAAACATCCTTCGGGGGCCAATTGGCGCTTGAAATCCAACTTCATTCCCCTCAAACTGAACCCTTTCAAAAACAAACCCCCCTCCCCTTTACCACCCGCACTCTTTTTTCCCTCTTTCAAAACAGCCCCATAACAAGCTGGCGAATTGTTGCCCTTCCTCAACTTTTAAGGGTATTATGCACCATGTCCAACTTCAAAGCCTGTCTTAACTCCACACTTTAATTGTATCTTCAACAGCTCGCTTCGTGCCATTTGATTCTGCTGACAACAGCACTTCTCCCTCTGTTCTCCTCCCGTCCTCTTCTGCCACTCTTTTCCCCTCGATTATGTTTTGACCCCCACCA